AGTAGGTATATATGACAAGTTAAATTTAAATATAGCCAAATTTGAATTCTAGCGCTGTTTTTTCTGCCTGTGTCACTATACCAAATTTGGTGTATATAGCTCTTATAGTGTTATTGTCAGTTGAGTATAAAAACGGTCACTTTTATACAAAGAATTGATTGTTTATAAATTCTTTTTATAAGAGCCATATAATACAGTAGATGGACTTTACTTATATGTACTATCGTGTTAGATACTATATCGTGTTTAGTTTAGTTAAGATATCGGCCATAACAAAAATTATTTTTAAGAATTATATTCTCTACCGATCGTTTCGATGGCAACAAAAAGATTATATACCTTTTACGGAGTTATAGACGACACCTCCTTATATTATATGATATAATTATAACATCCTCTGCAAGGGTATAAAAATGGAAAATGAAATGAGTGCACTGATTATAAAAAAGGAAGTAAAATTTATTATAGAATTTGTGCATTCATTTATCTGTCCCAAAAAATGCTTATTTAAATCAAAAATTAGTATTAAAAAAATACACAGATTCACTTGTATTGTATTGTATATTTTTTCAAAAATTAAATTCCTATTTCAAATAAATCAAATTGCTTAATTGCATATGGCATATGGCATATGGTGATATAGTAATATTAAATATGATGCATTGATGTATGATGTATGACAAAACTTATAGTGCAGAAATATTTCCATAGGAATCGAAAACAATCATGGGAAAGATATATAAATTCAGTGAATTTTTCATTGTATTTGCTCACTTTAGGACAACTTTAATGCACATTCTGTAAGCAAAAATATGACATTTAAAAACAATTTGAAGGAGCTCTTAAATCGTATAGTGCTTACTTTTTAAATTCAGCAAATAATTTGTTTGTTGGCGTAGTTTTAAATGTTGTGGGTTCCGTATCATTGCGACAGCCGTCTTTTCAATAATACCCTCGATGCTCCGCAATAACAAATCCTTATTTGAAAACTTTATGACAAGTCGGTAATCACCGTCTATCGCACGCGATACTTCCCAATCAGCTGGGACAGGGTGAACATCGGAGCTATCATTGATTTCATTTTCGTCTTTAACTTCGTTTTTCATAGTGCGGCGACACTTCTTTTTGGCACATGTTGCGTCAAGTTCTTCCTCCTCGGATGCATCGAAAAACAACTTGTTTTTATTGCTCTCTAGGTGGCGTTCGTCTTGATTGCGATCACGTTTTGGACACGTGCAAATTTTAAGGTACAGTACTTGCTGCCCCAATATGTCACGGCTGGAATGATAGTTTATATGGGTAAACTTTTTTTTTACAAATGAATAGCATACTTCGTGTTTTCCAAGCAAAAAACCAAACAGGTTTCCTTGCGACCAAAGCATGAGTTCTGACAGGCAAAACTGAAGGCAAGGGTTTGGCGAACGAATCCACCGCTTTCGTGGCTAGAACGACTCATATTTAATGGCACAAGCACGGAGTATCTTTCTGCAATACTTTTTCCTTCAGATGTTCCACAATAAGAAGTGTTCGGGTTTTCACAGCGTAATAAACTTTCTCTCATACTTTGATTGCCCTTAACTTAAAAGAAACCAATTATTAATAGGGGAACATTTTATGCAACTATTTTTTACTTACTGGGATCTGTGCTTAAATGGTTTTGACAGCGCAGAACGGGTCCACTGACATCCTTAACAAAGCAAAGAAAGGCTCGCAAATTCAGAGGCTGAATAGGCATTTTTGTTTTAAATTTTACATCAATATTAAAAGTCTTATTCATACGAATGTACAGTTTGTTTAATGGCATTGAAAACATCCAGTGCGACTTTGGCGGCTCCTCGAGGACCATGCCAAAATGATAATCACCATTGTTGTGATTTTCCAACTTGGGCAGGGAGTTAATCTGTGTCTTGATATCTTGTAGCATCATTTCACGCAATACGGATTGCTTGAATATAAAAATATCAAATGCGCAAATGTATATATAAATTTGTGACTGAAGGTTGTAACAAAAAAAAATATATATAGAAAACATATCTATGTAGCTTTTAATGGTCTGAACAAAGTATATATTTTACGGCATCCTTCATAATCGCATGCATTCTTATGGGGTCATCATAAGTTTGAGTCAAATAAGCCGTTATTGTATTCTCTTATTAATTAATTCATAATGCGTTGCCTAACGTATTCAGTTGGTTGTTCAACGGTTAGCAAACACGTACCAAACACAGGGTGATTGTTGCCATTGATATTGGTTGAGTGACATTGATGTTCAGCGACATTTCGGACTCGGACAAGAAATCAAGATAATATTAATCGGGCAAAGGAACAATTAAAATACCAATGGATAAAATATGAGGTCAGTAAACAAACAACTTTCATCTGCAATGGGTCTCTTTTTGTGGAATCCCATTCAGGGTAAAAACATGCTAGTCCAATTATTGATTGTTACGCTCATATTTATGCTAACATTGTTCGGGCTATTCGCCAATCGTTACTCTTGGCGTGGTCGAAAACGTTTTGTATTTTCAAAGAAATATTTGGCATATGCTATGCTAGTAACAGTCTTATTTACAAGTGTATATATTCGTCAGATGTACCTTGACTATACAAATGCACAACTCAACTTACGCGACGCCGTCAAACTATACAGCTATATGAATACAACAGTAGCTATTCTTAATTTTGTTAATCAAATGCTATTGAGCAAAAAGGTGGCGCGTATGATGAGCAACGTACCCCTTTTTGAAACGTTAAATGAACTTCATATTGACATCAACAAAATAAAAAAATCGGTGATCTTGGCACTGATTAAAGTCATTGGATTCCCGCTTGCCTTAGAGATGGCTTTGGTGTTGCAGCAAAAACGAAATGAACCTCAGCTTTATTGGACCTGGTCCCTCTATAAATTGTTTCCAATGATAATTTCAAATTTTTTAAACAATTGCTATTTTGGTGCAATGATCATAGCGAAGAACATTATGGAAACCTTAAATGAGAGACTTAAAATGTTAGTACAACAGGTGAATTTCATGCAGCAGGAGATCCGTAAAAATCTATATTCGAAATATCACCGCATTCAGCACTATTGCACATTAGCGGACGAGCTCAACGTGCTAGCGGTGAAATACAAAATTATATGCATTCAAGCTACGAAGTACATGGCTTTGATGTCACTCTCAATAGTCCTTTCTCTAATTTGCCATCTGCTAGGAATCACTGTGGGATTTTATAATCAGTATTACGCTATTGCTGAGACCTTTATTGGAGGCAAACGGTACGATGCGTTCGGTGCACTCATCAATTTAGTGTTCTTGGCCATATCTATCTCTGAAGTAGCCTTGCTGACGTACGTGAGCAACGACATTTTGATCGCAACTCGAACGACAGGAATCATTTTGCAAGAGATTAAATTACAACAAGCCGATTGGCGCTTTCGACAATGCGTACACGCATTCTCACTGCAAGTTGACACAATAAAGTACAAAATAAAGCCTATGGGACTTTTTGAAATTGACACTTCGCTTATAAGTAGCGTAATTTCTACAGTAGCTAGTTTTTCGCTCATACTTGTGCAATCAGATCTGTCCCAGCGCTTTAAGCAATCATAGGAAGTTTTATTTATTACGTGCGCACATTTTACCTGACTAAACTGCATCAAATTTCCTGACTGCAAGAAAATAAAAACTAATTAATCATATAAAAACCTTTGTATTATTGCCAATTGTACTTACGTGAAGGCCTTGTAGAAAAGCCATTGGCTCAATCGGCCTGCAACAAGAAATAAATTTACAACCGTTCAATTTGGTCTTCGATTACTTTTTGCATAACTTATTTGGACCATACAGTATTTTGCAAAGTACAAGTTTCTTACTTTTTTGGTACTACTCTATTACTCTAATGAAAATACATCAAAAACGCTATTTGTATTGATTTTTACTCTCATGAACTTATACAAAAAGCAGTCGACGACTTTTTTATATTTATGTTTGTAATGTAAACTTACATATCGTCTGTAACATTTTCAATATTAATGTTTTCCTGCGACGTTGAGACAGATGTTTCAAAATTTTCCTCCTCCTCCTCCAGAAGAAACGTGCTTTGCCTGAAATCGAAGTATATTTGCACAATAAATAATGTAAAAATTAATGCACACACGTAAATTCACAAACAATTCATTACACCTCGGGTCTTGTACCACCATTTAATTGGATACATAGGCAGCGAACTAACAATAATACCTTTTTTTCTCACGAGACATTGTCGGCGTAATGTAAATAATCCTTCCTAACAAATATTACATATGCATACATATGAATGCATTTAAGAATAAGTATTAATATTCTAAAAAGTTAACAAGTGGTTTCTTCTTCCCATTTCTAAAGTCACAGTGTGGCCTATCGGACACAGCTGTTGTCGATAAATGCACTTTTGATAAGGGTACTCCCTACATTTTTTTTTTTGGATTAAACTTAAGCAGATTAAAAGTAGGTTTATTCTATATTTAACTAGAAAATAGATAAAATAGAAGATTAAGTTAAAATAACAAACATACCCCACGCATTTTTAGGCATTCACTTTTTTTTTTTCAAGAAAAAATAGGCATTTGTTTCGATCACAATTTTTACCGCCACTAAGATTGTAAATAGTCACGCAAAATTTAACGATTTAGGGATTAATCTTTTAGATTTTGGCATGACCCATGATTTTAATGATCAAAAATGGACCTACTGCCTGCTAAATTTGGCCTAGCAACTTTGACAGTCAAAAAATTGCAAAACCAGCGCGAAACCTAACTCTACAAGTACAGACTTTAATGGAGATTAAATTTCTTGTATATATAGCGAACACTACTCTTATGGACTCTCCGATTAGGTAGATCATAAATCGGGTCACACCAATTCCATCTATGTTAGGTGGGCCCTGAAATTACCCGACCAAAAGAGTTTTATCTCTGCTTAAGCTTCTTTAAACAAAATATATATGTATGTATGTTAGCATATAATTATTATTACTAAAGTAGATTAAAAAGTTTTGTACAAATTAAAATTAAGCATTACAGATTAATGTCAACAATATAATTAAGAAAGTTTAACTCTACTTCTTAGTTATCCTTCTGTGAAGTTCGTTTTGAGGGTCATTTTCGCTCCTAAGATTATTGTCAACAATATATATAAGTTAGCTTAACACTATTTTTCAATTGTCCTGTTCGGTTGCCCATTACTTTGAACCTCGGTGTCCGTCGTAAGAGAAGAAATTGAGGACTTATTTGCCTGTCTGAAAAAACCGAAAAACAGAAATAGTTTATCAATAAAGGAAAGCTAACAACAGCTTCTAAAAATGTAAAAACATATTGAAAATAATGATATCTTGTGACTGAAATGCATACTAGTTAAAACATATATATGTACCTGTAAAATACGTAATGCTGGAGCATGAAAAATATATCAAACAACACAGAAAACAAACCAAGACCAAATTTCGTCGGGTCACCAAATATTGAAACCCAATCGTCTGAAAATAAATAACAAAAATCAGTCGGTTTCAGTTTATACATATTAATAATGCTACTACTACTAGCTTACCGTAGTTATATGCATTTAATATCATTTGTAGCATACTCAGAATGCCACCGGTAAAATCCAATAAAATATTGCCAATACTCCTGTAAGATGTTTGTTTCATATTAGGAAATGTACACAATGTTAGAGATTTTTTTTTTTGTGCATTCTTACCACCCTATAGTACTCTTCCTTTTATAGTTCATTAAGGCCTGTGGTATATACTTTATGATTGTAATCGTCAGTTTTACATAGCTGAATGGTAAAAATAATATTATAACGCTCGAGAAATATTTAAATTTTCATTTTTGGTACCTGCAGTAGTATAGAAAATCTAGCCAATGAATTACAGATCCTCCGGCCAACCCTGCTGATATGACCACAACAAGAGCAAAAACTATCAAGAGACCATAAGCAGTTTTTGAGACTCGTTGTTGTCCACGCTAAATGTAAACACAAAATTTGGTTAATCTTACGAGCTTTTACATTTGATTCACAATTACCTCATACTTAAAACACTGTCCAATAGTAAGGCTTGTTGCAAACATTGCGTGCAATGAAAATACCACGTCATTTAATAGAACTGGATTAACGCCACGAGGATGTCTATTTCCGTATTCATTTTGTAAGCTTTGAATAAAGTAGAGTCCACAGTTAAACATGCTATACAGTGTAAATCCAACAATATTCAGAGTTAAAAAATCAAAGTTTAATCCCTCAACCGATTTGCGGCGATAGTTGATCCATATTTGTGGATAAAAAGATATTGACCACGCCACGAAGTATATCCAACCAAAAATAACGGAAGTGTAAATAATAGCTTGAGATTTAGCCACAACGATTCGCACAAAAAGTGCATCGGTGCTGAAAAGAGTATACACATATAAAAATGTCAAATAATTTGAACTTTTTCTCACATCCATGTGTCACTAGAATTGCTACTTGCAGTGATCTCTACATGACCGGCTGCCAGACCCGTTACAACGATAGTTTCATTGTATGAAATGCCTGCGCGGCATATGAAGGACTCAGGATCCAAATCCACATGATCTTCATGTTGTTTTACTAACGTTAAGTTAACAGTGTCTGCAAGATTGTTGCTGTAGGATTTAAAATTAGTCTGATAAATAGCAAGATTAATGTAGTACTCACCTAGCATAAATCACGAAGCTTTCATTGGCATTCACCAGCACCGTCAGGTCATGAGTACTTACTGTAAAAACACTACTTTCTTGAGCGCATCCAAAACCAACTGCATTTTAAAAATAAATTTGAGCATTTGACTTGGTAAAATATTTATTAAAAACTTACTAGCCAATATTACAAGCGTTTGCCGTAAATAACTCAAGCAAAGTACCATTTTTCATTTGTATTCGTTTTTTTTTTTGTTGGTTTTATGTTTTAGAACACCTGCAAATTAAATGTCCCATTACCATTTTATTATAATTACACCTTGTTTTTTTAAAACCACATTAAAATAGTTTAAGAATCGTAACGTGTAAATTGAATTAGTAAATAATTTAAAGGGTCTCTAATTATAAGTCAGTATTTTAAAAAATTACATTTATTAAAATATAAGTCAAAAGTGGCCACGTAAATATAAAATACATATGTACGAGGCCTCAATTGTATGTGATGAAAATTTAAAAGTTATTAGCTTTTACAAATTGCAGTACTTAATATCAATAGATTGTAGATTGTATATCAATTGAAGTCAGAAAACAATTTCTTTAGCTGATATATCTTCATCGCGCTTATTGAGAGTAGACGCAAAAGGCATGCTGGGTAGACTTTACAGGCAATCAATAGGAAAGTACAGAGTGCAAGCACGCAGTTAATGTAGAAGGCGATTAAAGAATTTTTGGATATACATATATAAAATGTCTTATATTTTAAAAACTTTCTTAACGGGAATTAAATACCTCAGAAATTTCTTTAAATGTTGATAATTAATTAAATGGCCTGTGGAAGAACTTTTCTTTATTTTTTTTTTATTATTTTTATACGGTCCACAATACTTTTATAGCTTGCAATACATATCGAGCATTTTGCAAGAATAAGCCAAACGAACAACAATCTATACGAGCCAAATTCTTACGCACGTACATACATATCCAAGTGTATCACTTCTATCAAAAGGCGTTTGTATAAAAATGTATCAACAAACAGTCACAAGCACAGAAAAAAATATATAGCTGTGCTTCTATAAATCAAGCCGCCTTGACTATGGCTTGTTACACTTAATAAAAAAAAAACTTTTTCAACTACTCATTAAGTTATTCATTTATGGCATAACAGATGACTTTGCAAAAGCTGTTTTATAAAAGTATACTACATCCTGAAATGCCACTTATCACTACTTTGATAACGCTAATCGGCTTGTTACAGTTGTTGCTGTTGGCTATTGCCTTAATATCAGTGTGTAGACGTTCCTTTTAATTGGGCAATTCAGACGCCGATAAGTGCGTTGCGATAATTAAAAAATCTAAATTAGTAGACACTTCATATAATAATGGGAATTTCGAATGTGAATTGAAAGTACAAGTCGAGTTGCGCCGACCGAAAACTGGTCGCGTTGGAACATAAATGCAATATTTCTGATCACACTCTTTATGTTTGTTTGTATGTATATATGCGTATATAAATATGAATACATTCGCATGCTTCGTGTTTTGTATGTACGTAAATTTATTTATATCTAAATATCCACATTTGCTGACTTAACCAACTGTATAAATAAACGATACAAAATGCAGCATATAAAACCAATTTTTAGATGTCTTTGGCAGCCGGATTAGAACTTTCACTTGAAAGCTTGTGAATTGGAAAGCACTGTTGATTTCCGAGCAATAACAATGCCAAAAAATCTACGCTTTATATTGACAGAATATTACTGCACTGATCGTGTTATAAGATAATGCTGTAAATCAAGCTCGAACCGAATTAATAACCATTTCTTGTAACTTTTAACGTGTTCAACTTCTAATTTACCAATCAGTAGCTTCAATATGTTTAACGATATCAACGACGGCACGACTGTCAAGATACTGAGGCGCTGTGCACAGCGCCAATACTTATAACCGAAGCTCACGCCGCTGTGGGGTTCGGCGCGATTCAACAGCTCTTTCGTGCGACGATTGTAAGTAGCTTTTGTTTTTGCACTTCATAGTTGAATTGAGTTGAATATCGTGTATTTAAATAGAACTTCGTTTTTTATAAATAATCTTATAAAGTAATTGCCGGTATGCGTTAAACTACGCCGGATAAGCAGTCGGATTGAACACATATAATTTATACTTATAGACACATGTATATCAACGAGCTCCTGGGCACTCAACAATTGAAATTAAAGATTAAATGGCATAAATATAAACATATTAAGTTAAGTATATTTATATCTTAGTCTCTGAGATCGATCATTCACATAAGGAAGAAGACACATACACTGAAGGCATTTATTATTTATATGTACTTTCCAATGTACATACATATAATAAGATAAACTTAACTCACATCACTTTTTTGAGATATCGAAGCAGTCGTTACAGTCTTTGTTAGACTGAATACTATTTCATATCTAATTTTTATTAAAACACAAGAATTTAATAAACTGGTTAATATGCATACACCAAAACGCAAGCTTCAAATAATAATAAGATAATATTTGAAAACCCTAACATATGAATATCGGTTTGCAAGCGTAGACCATTTTTTTAGTTCAGTTAAACACAATTACTCATATTCTTGAAACCATTTTTCATTCGTTTTAAGTCAAATAATATCACAGTTTACAAACTGAACTAACGAAACATTGAAAAAACATCTCAGTAAGTTGTAAAAATACACCGGTTGTGCGAATTGCAAATTCGTAAAGTTAGATGCGACTACCAAAGCTGAGATAACAAGTCCAGTATATACTCCTGTATAATCATTGTAGCTTGTTGTGATTGGCGCGTCGATTCTTCTCCAGGATTAAAGCGCGACTGTAAAGAAAAGCAGATACATTAAAATCGAGTTACAGTTGAAGCCAAACACACTCACCGATAGCGCTCATAAAACCCGACGATTGTACCGAGCTCTTGCTTAAAGAGACGTACTAACATGCTATCAAAGCCTTCGAGCTCAGGCAGGCTAAACATATTAAACTGCAGCAGATGATCCTTGGAGGAGTCCGCCTCAGAATAGACAGCCAACCATTTTGGTATTTCTTCAAGTAGGTAGGGATTGGCTGGCACCAATGCGGTATGTGTATGTGAAGGTGGTGAATACATTGGTGCTTCGGGCCGTATTGCTTTAGGAGGTTCTGCTGACGTGGTATAAACGTAATAGGATGTAAGGCATGGATGTTGCCGCTGGCACTGCCCGGTATACTGGTTTTCATAATAGGTACCATGCAGTTTCGAGACAACGCGGCGCCAACCAACCGGCAGACCCTCGCGCTCCAATGGATGATTCCAATGCGTTGTATGTGCGTTGTGGTCAATATAGTATTTCCGACCATGCAACGTGTATTGTGTGGCCCAACCCGGCGGCAGTGGCAATTCTTCGCTCTCATCAAGCGACTGCTGTGAGGGTACTTTTCGCAACGCTCCGTTACCATTGGTATCTCCAGCAGTTGAAGTACTGGATGCAGGCGGCGTGAGAGGTGGCGCATAAAGGGATTGAACTGAAGTAGAGGCGCCACGCATGCTGCCGCCTCGACCACTCAGAGATCCACCTAAGGGTACTGGTAAATGATGATGATGATGTGGAGTAACACTAAGCGTAGCCGATGACGCTGTTGTATTACTGTATATTGGAGATTCGGAGCGCTGTGATGGCGTCACCCGCATGGAAGAAACGCGATACGGATTCTCATATATTGGATACGAATCGCTGGAATAACTACCAACCATATGCGCTGCCAATTGTTGTTGTTGTTGCTGATGCTGATGATGTTGTCCTAATGGTGATCTGAAAATGTGTACTCGAAATTAAATTGAGTATGAACTATGAACAATGAACTATTCATTACCTTGTCTGAGGATACCGTGGTTGATCTTTTGTTGCTATTGTAGACGGCTCGAATCGAATCACTGATCCAAATGTTGTGGAAGGGTGATGTAGGAGCTGTTGAGGTTGCTGCATTGCGAACTGTGCAGGTGATGGGGGTCGGCGCGGCATTTGTGTCATATTTGCGTAGGAGGTGTTAAGAAGTCCATGATCGACGTCATAGCTAGTTGTACCCCCATGCGGTTGCGAGGGCTTTTGGGTAGAATAACTTCGCTGGAAGCCCCTTGCTGGATTGTTGATTGGCAGCAGCGGTGATGACTGCTGACGTCGCATACGGTCCATTTGCTCAATGTTGACGTAGTTACTGTTTCCTTGGCATAGCTGGGTGCTGCCAACTCGAAATTGTGTGTTATTCTGTGGTGGAAGTGATTGCTGATTGTTAAGCGGCAACTGGCTTTGAGCTCTGCGCGCGTGATAGTAATCCGGCTGAACGTCACTACAAGAATACGTATTGCGACTAGAACTCGAGCTGCGCGGCTTAAACTCACAGCTGGGCGAAGTACTTGCACACCTCTGCAAAGACTTCTTTTTTGCACGTTGATGTTGATCGGAATAGGAAGTCCACACATTTATCACCGGTATCTCCGGCGGGGTATCCTTCTTTACATACTTCCCAACTACGCCCTCTTTATGTGCCTGTGATTTATCCTTGCTCCGGCGCGAGAGCATCGTTGGTTTACGATTGCACAGCAAAATCGTTAAATAGTTCATGCAGGGCAGCCGATCAGAGTAACTTTGTTTTGTCTTTTTATAATTTTCACTTTACTACGAATTTTACTGTGCAATTTATGTTGCAAACTATTATGTGTAATCAAAAATGTTTTAGCCGCATCAAATCGTTTTGCATATGTTCGATCGGCCGACACACTAAACTGAGCGAACTTTTGTCGTTCATCTAGTTCCGCTACCTAGCCTCTGATGCTAATTTTTAACAAATACGAAAACTAAACCTAATGAGCTGCGCAAGAGTTTGTACAAGTAATGGCTAACTTACGAGCCAAGACTAGTTAGTTTGTCTTTTATAGGGATTAAGACTTTAATCTTTATATTCTGTTAATTGGGTTAAACATCACTAACAGAACCTCAAATGTTAATGTTATTCTTTCTTTGTTCAAAAATATTAGAGATGCCCAAAGCGATATTATATAAAGATACTCATCCCTAGCGTAATGTTGTAGAATTTACAAAATTACGCTGAGCTCTTATAATGGATATGAAATGTATAAATCCCATAATAGCGAAAAATAATATATCAAAATATTCGCTCTTTTTTCGTTATATATACGTACATAAGTTTTCTATTGTATTAGCAATTGATATATAATCTTTAGATCTTCAATATCCATAACATACGATGGTTAAAAATGAGTAAGCAAAAAGTCATGACGAAATGCCAACTCGACTCAGTTTCAGTTTATTTTAACATTGATTTTAATTCTTCATTAATGTTTTTTATTTGAATTAAAACACTTATTCAATGCTGAGCTATTTGCACATATGCGTTTAGTGATGTCCGTGGGCTTCGGCCTCCAACTGTTCTTTGGATTTGTAGCCAACTTGTTCTTCTGGAGTGTGGGGCCAGAACGTTGGCTTGTTGATCGGATCCAAAGCGCTCTCAGGGAATGCATCACGATAATCCTCCATTGTCATTTGGTCATATGGGAGTAATGCCTTCAAATGAGCGATTTCCTTCTGGTAATTCTGAATGCGTTGCTCAGAAGCTTTCTTGTAATTGGATATCTCGCACTGCGATTCCTCGATTTCAGCATCAACAAATTTCGACACATTGTCCTTTGGGTAGGGCACGGACAAGCCATCGTACTGTTTCTGGAAGCTATCGACAAGACCAGCAACGGGTATCAAGCGTTTGTAGTATGCCCAATCAATTTTTGGTGGGCTCTCTGGATTAGCCAGCACGGCGCGCACATAAATGTCCGACTTTGTCTTAAAGGCACCGAAACTGCTTTTTTGGCTTGCGGGCACACGCTCTGCCAGAGCAGACCAGTTGATCGAAGATTGAGTGATGCGGCGTGCTGCCATAATTATTTCGAACGCTGAAAAGTACAAAAATATGTTTCCGTAGTTTTAGTTTTTTACATCACAACAGGAGGTATATATGCACCAGTTTGGTGCACTTCTTTTAAAGCTTCCAAGTATCTTGAGGTATATTCCGATTTTTTTTACAACCTAACTACCCAGTTCCGAATTCGCACTGAAAATTGTGTTCTGCAATAATTATGTAATTTTGTCGGAACACAAACGAACTAATATATAATAAAACGATTGAGAATGCTTATGTCGTGCTATCGGCCTCTATATCTCCCATTAGTATCAGATGCAAAAAGGTACTTTTCCAAATAATTTTACTACATTTTAATAAGTTTTATTTTACATGCGATTTTCACACCACTTACTTTAACTAAAATAATTATTATCGATTCAGACAGTAAAAGCAATCGAGTACTTTTTTTTAAAATTCGATTGGCAGTGTAGCAGTCAATATTTTTTTTTTCTGATGTTAACAACTGGTCACACTCATCGTAAACAAGTTTTGGGAAGCAATTGCTGTAAATCCGCATAAAAATATTTGCTTTTGCATTATTGGGTAAAATGCTTAAGCTTTGTGTTCAAGGGTTACAACATACGCGTGCCTTGTCCTCGGCCACTGCATCGGTGACGCGGTTGCATCGTTCTGTATACTGCCGCATTTATCCGACGGTTGTGGTACATCCGGACGGATCCACTATTAACATTCGATATCATGAGCCCCGCAAAATAATAAAAGTAATTATATAAGACGACTTTTACTTGCATGTGCATATGTGTTTCACAAATTTATATTTTCAATATAGCTGCCATTGGATCTGAGTACATTGTCCGATTTGGAGCGCAAGTCACGCTTAGAGGCCCGAAAGCCGCGAAAAAAAGTCAAGATTATGGATGAAGTGGAGGATAATTTTAATGCCAAAAAGTATATGAAATATATAAAAATGAACAAGTAAACTGTTATTCAATTAAAAAAATGTTCAACTTTTATGAGTTCTCCTATTAACGCTGTCTGCTTTCGTTTACTAAAGCTATCCGCTATAAAGTTGCCATACATTTCTGTTCGACTACTACGATGAGCAAAACCAAAATTAAAGTGTGACCGAATTTCGATATTTCGAGCGCATGTTAATCTTAGAAGATATTAACATATATGCGAAAAATACTAAAATGTCCTAAGAGATTAAAATACCTTATTTTTGTTGGTGATTTGTGTTGCCAACTGCGGTCACACTGCTAAATTAATTGTTAAAATTATCGAGGCAGAAACGAAGCTTGACGTGGTCACGCGTCGTAGCAATTTACAAACGATTTTTCACTAGTGTAAATATAAGTTTAATAATATATACTAAAGGAAACAATTCAAGCAAAGAAAATAGTAGTGTCGACGCTTCAAATGGAGTTACGTTTTTCGACCGACATAAAGTGCATTGTATAAAACGCAACAGTGAATTTTGAGTTGTCTAATAAAGTCATGAATATGAACGTTTTTATGTGAATGTATGTAGTACGCAGTTAACAAAACTGCATTATTTTGTGAAATTTTTACCTCCTATGAAAAATCGCAAAATTCGCAAGGCTTATGTATCCAGTTTGTGCTTGTGTTTATATTAATACATTTACAGCGCAGGCAGAAACGCATATGTACATGCACTACATACTTATTGGATTATAGCAGCTGAAGAATATGGTAAATAATGCTTGGTTGTTATATGTTATCAATGTGAACATTAAAAAAGAGTTCTTAACTTTCTTTTGGTGGGACTTCTTTCGTAAAGCCATAAATACAAACCTATTTTTGAATGTTTTTCTACGCTTGACTATGCTTGTGTATGAGTGTGCGTGTTTGTGAGCGTATATATTTTTGAGTGTACATGCTTTATTCTCTTTTCTGCTGCATTTTCGTCGGAATTGCTGCCATAGATATGACCTTTGCCTGGGATAGTACATCAATATTTCCAAATCAAATGATGTAAAGAATTTCCTAATATTCAAAAATATGTGTATATTTATAATATATTAAACTATAACTGTGTTTAGAATATATGCATAAGGTTTGCTTTGCTTTTACTCCTTTATATTGATGCGCCTTACGTATGTGGCTGTGTGTGTGTGATTGGAATGCGGTTTAGTGTGGAGGGCTACATAAACACTCATGCACCTATTTTTGTAAGCAGCGGAAATGTAAAAATAACACACACACACTTTTAGCAAACTAACACTAGCATAGATGATGAGAAGCTTAGTCTATACTGTCTGCCGATTTCCAATACCAACGTATTTTTCGTTTAGTGGAAAGTCACTTTTCAATGGAAAATGCAAATGCTGCGACAGATGTTTCATCTTTTATTGTGTGAATTCATTCATTCTGCCACATGCATATATATATATATGTAAAATCATTATTTATCATTTTTGTTTCCATGATATTTTTTGTCTTTAAATATGTTTGTATTTATGTGTGTATGTCATGTGTTTATTTGGAGTCAGTATTTCAGTTTATACTTATGGGATTTCGTGGTGGTCGACAAGAATCATACATATTTTTAATTTGCATCTATTTTGTGCCTTGACAGTTTCTGCATACTAGGTGTTTTGCGCTTTCGTTTGTTTTTCTCGTACGCCTTCTAGTCTATTCTACTTGCATCTAAGGTATAATTAAACCAATATGGTAATTTTAAAAAATTGTACATTGTGCGACGTTAGAATAGTTTACTTGCCACAATAATTAATAAATAAGGGAGGAAAAATACATCTATTCGAATTTTCGAAATTTATTTTTTACATAATACATCAATTGAAGATAATAAATATCCTTAATCGCATGTCTAGCCTTTATATACTCAAATATATGGTCAACAAATATGAACCCAATATGAAAATCAGCACATTGATTTTGTAGAAGGAGGTTTGGCTGTCTATCTTTTAATAATGTCCTGCCGTTCAGGGTATAAAGAGAAAGAAATGATTTTAGAATATGCATAGCTGCTATAAGCACGAACGTATGTATATAGTTAGGCAAAGTCAACTTGGAAAATTTGGTGGTAAAGGGTAAAGAGGCACACATCCTCTACAAAAAGTGAACTACGTGAGTATATTTTCGTTTATATACAGCTGCGAATGAAAAGATAAAAACGATATGTACAAATGTGTAAGTGAAAGTTCGAATATATTCTAGTCGGAAACTTGATCACTCTTTCAATATATAATGTTGTGTTGAAGGTATATATATACTTAATTAGTTCCCAAAGTTAAATGCTTTTATTTTGCGGCTATATCCACGCTTCTTCTGAATAGGGTTAGTTTTTTATGTGCAGCTAAGAAGCTTAAAATTAAAAATGTTTTATAAAATGTATGTTTTAAATTAGAGTAATATAATTAATAAATAAATATAATAAAACCGATGCGCTTAAGTTTTAGACTACAAACGACCATTTTTGAAGAAATGTCATAGGCAGATGATAGAACCTTAGAGCCACCAGCACAGTGTTTTAATCTTTTTTTTTCCATCTCTAACACAAGCTAATCACGTGGAAACAAAATTTATTTTCAATGTGCTATGAGTATTGGGTATTTTGTCCAACAATTTTAATATCTATTGGCTTTCATTGCTGGTATGTAAGCCATTTTTTCTACCCAATTTGTAGATTTGCTTGGCTATTTTTGCTACTATCTTATCGCAAATTTGCTGATAAAAAGGCGAGAATGAAATTGCCAAGCTGTATTTTTATTTTTTGTGATTAAAGCAAAATATGTTATGTCATTAGTTCGGCTCACCAATATTTTTTCGTACTTCTGAAGAATAAAGTTGTAAGTACAGAAATACAGAGGTTTACTAGGATAGGCTTTATTAAAATACGGATTATATATTCTTGAATATGTAAAATGTAAACTGCTTATATTAGTTGATTTTACAATAAAAATGCTGTTCAGTATTCTTTTCAAAAGCGAACAATTTTCAATTTGCTTGATATAAATAAATTATTAAAGGAATACTGCATATGTCCAAATTTAAGTTGTTGTGCTTCTAGTGTATGAATATATACAGCTTAGTCTAATCAGAAAGTCATTGTTGAAGTACAAAACTTATTTAAAACATTCGGCAGTCTCTTATTTTTTGTCATAACAGATGTGAAGGCGCAGCAGACTCTAATTAGGCGTAAACCTCACTTGGACACTCATGCCCCTTCTATTTGGCGGACACTCCACTTGGTCGAACATTTTCTATTAAGCTACACTCATTCCCCCTCTGTTTGGCGGACTCTCTTTTTTAGTACACAAAAAATGCCTGGAATTCCCTGTCCGCTCAAGAGAGTTCTCACTGTATTAACAATTACGATCAACCTTTATTCTTAATTTTCCACCCAATGGATTTTTTCAAATTCTGCTATAAATCTTTGAAAATTAATTTGTGGGTGATCCAATAAAAACAAATTCGTTTTATACAATATAATTCCTCGCGACTTCCGACCATGGAAGGGGTTTTCAAGCAGTCTATTACATTTTCAAAATGAAAACAAGTAAGAGGTTCTTGTCGGGAGCTCCCGAATAGGGGATACCCTGAACCCTCTCTTCCAACATCAAATGCATATATATATTCTATTTAGGAAGCTATATGTAATGTTTGGGGAATCTAGCTCTTATTATTTACCAAAATTGCCCAAAAAACTGGATATCGATATCGCTTTTTATCGATTGCTTGGAAACGGAGTAGGTTATCGATTATCGGAAACAAACTCGATCTGCGCAGGCACTAGGAGCACCTACATCTCAAATTTCAGTCTCCAGCTCTTATAGGTTCTGAGATCCTTGCGTTCATACATACGGACACACAGACAGACGGACATGGCTAGATCGACTCGGCTATTGGTGCTGATCAAGAATATATATACTTAATGGGGTCGGAGATGCTTCCTTCTGCCTGTTACATACATTTGGATTTTGCACAAATACAATATACCCTTGTTCCCATTGTTAATGGGTTCAGGGTATTATTAAATACACGTGTATATATTTCTGTGTCTTACTCTACCACAGTTTAATTTGATGCAAACATTTTTAAGTGTGAAAAGTTATTTGTATATCTATCTTCTTTCTTTCCCGCAGGCTTCCGGAGCGCTTCCAATGCAAAAATCTTCCTACAATTGTGCCAAATTGACGGATCTGTAAATGACTTCACTGTTTTTGGAGTTTCTTGTCATCTAAACTAGCAAGAGCAATAAAATAAAAATTTTGTGATTGAGTTTGAATTTTTCTCTAAGCTGTCAATTTACTTCGCCAAATAGGTATTTTACAGTGTTGTTGTACGTTGTGCCTAAAAAAAATAATATAAAATTTGATCGCTTAACATAAAACTTATTCGTGTTCGTGTTCGTGTTGCTCCACCCTGCCGTTTCGTTGTGAATGTGGCCAATGTGATTTTTTTCAACAATCGCAGCTTAAGAGCTGCTGTTGCGCCAGGCCTACTAAATCCATCAACAAATCCTTCCATACCTGCTATATCTATATATATAAAAACATACATCGTAGCTAATAATTATGAGCCTTAATCAACATAGTGGACCTGGCCCCCCAGAGAACAGTAGTAGCTACAGTGATAAGTCGTGCGATCAAGTGGACTCCTCGCAAATCTTGTGGCAGGAAAGCACATCAGGCATGTGTACGTCTTTAAGAGTTGCCGGTCCACAGGTTTGTCAGAACGAAATGGCAAATAGTGATGTACCGCCGGCTGATTCGTCGCCTTTGGTATTCAATGACAGTGATAACAGTAACGGTATCGGTAAAAGTTTCAGTACTGGCAATGGCTCTAGCTGTTGCAGTCTTCCACCGGCATCGGTAATGCGTACAATGTCTTCTGATCGACTTGTGACTGGCCCTTCATGTCGCGCGCTGCGTACTGCGGTCTCAGCATTATATTCTGTGGATGATTTTGTCAAGGAAAAAATTGGTTCCGGGTT